TATAAGTAAGTATAAAGTAATACATTGGGGTGGGGGGTGAAACCCAACACCTAAACCAGGATGGTCTTGTGTTCAGCTCTGTGCAGCAGTTAACTCCCAGGATCTGCCCTGAGTCATCTTACTGAAAGGTCTCTGAAATGTTTGGAGTCACCAGTAAAATACTGAGTTTCATCAGGAAAAGAATTGGAAACAACATCACTTGGGCTCTGTAAACAAGGATATATACACACATCTTGAATCGTCTATATCATCCTTGAAATGTAAAGACCGGAAGGTTGTAGTGGAGGTAAACAAAGGGCAGAGGAAGGTAATGGCAAAGGGAAGGGGGTGCAGTAGCTGCCTTATGAGGAGAGACTAAAATGGCTGTGCCTCTTCAGTTTGAAGAGAAGGCTGGGGGAGAGGGAAGACGATCAAGATTTAGTAAATCACGAAGGTGGTGGTGAGGGTGAGTGTGCAACTGTTCCCTGAATCCTCCAAACCAAGAACTAAGGTGAAACTAAGATCTCTGTTAAAACAGATGAAGTGCATCTTCACAGAGCTGGTGGTGAAGCTCCACTCCCCTTCCCCACCCCCCCAAACTGTCAGGGGCTACTTGGTGCTCATTTGGGCCTTTGACTCATAACCGATTTGTGTTAATCTATCAAAATGTGAGATGCTAATGTACTTGCTGTGCTCATTAATTGTCGATGAAGCAGATACATTAGTTATTTTCTACAGTATCTAAAGTGCTTCCTGGGAAGAATTCCTTCTGTGTCCTGTCTTCACTTGTGGTTGTTGAAAAGTATTTAAAATAGATTAAACTATCGTGTGCTTTCCAGGGAATGTATGATCGGAGCCTACCCATGCATGGCTATTCCCTAGTCTGTTCTCTGTGAAGCCTCAGAAGTGTCTGTCAGATTCTCTTCCCTCTAGTTACAAAATGGGGAATGTAGTTTAAATCTGAGCTCTTGCTTACAAGTGTACTGGTGCTTCTGTGACTTCGTTTCCAGCACCTGCTCAGACTTGAGTTACAATTATCACAGTCACATGCTGACTGATAGGTACCAGACTTCAGACTTGAGCTGCTTGTTATTTTAAAAAAAATTAAAAATAAAAAATTGCTGGGGTCCCCTAATAGAACTGAGTGAATGTGGCTCTGGAATGCCTGAAGCTGAACTATGAGGCATCTGAGAAACACTTCAGAGGGCTGAAAGTCCATCCTGCCAGCAGGTTACAGCAGCACTCTGAGCGTGTCTGTAAGCCTGGAGAAAACTTACAGGAGCTGATCTTCTGTCTAAGCCAGGAAAACATCTGGCTTTCATCGTCCACATCAAACACTTTAAAAGCTTCTTTTCTTCTAGAAAACACTGAGGCTGATGTAGAAGCTGCCCCAGGTCAGAATGAAGAAAAATCCCTGCCTGCTGCACCTGTTCCTAGCCCAGTAGCACCAGCACCTGCACCGTCCAGGAGAAATCCACCCGGTGGCAAGTCCAGCCTAGTCCTTGGTTAAACCTTTCCTTTCCTGACTGTTTTGAACTCGTGTCTGTTTCTTTCCCCCATGCTTGTGAACTGCACAACTTGAGCCTGACTGTACATCTCGAATTTCTTTCATTAAAAAGAAGCACTTTATGTACTCCATCTTTTTTTGAGATCAAGGTTTTTTTCCACTTCTGTCCTGTGTTTCCCCCAGATCTACTGGAAGTGACATGAGTGTTTTCTAGTGATAGACTTGAGGGAAAGCTTTATGAAGCATAGTAATGTAATTCAAAGGAGAGTAGATTGGTTCTAAGTGTGCTTAGAGGGTTTTTGTACTGAGATTTTTTTAGAACCCCTTAGCTTTACAAGGGTCTAGAATCCTGGTTAAACAGGCCAGCAAACAATCAGCAAGAGCAGTCCCTTCTTCCACATGTGAGATTTGGGGATCTAAAAGGCTTCATTGACTGCATGTGGTAAATGCCTTGAGCCCTGCTGTGCCATATAAATCATAAAGTGGTTAGTGTACACCATGCTGCCTTTAAAAAAAAAAAAAATTAGAAAAATCTTGATACTGGACTACTATGAAGCAGGGTATGTGCCAAATAGAGGGCTGATGACCAGAGCCGCCTGGCCTAATGCTAGGAGGGGATTTATTCAGACTTTATTCAGTAAAGGTGGAGTGGATCGTATAAATAAATAAAAATTACAGGGCATTTTTTTTACAACTGACTCAATGCTGTGCATGATCATGCTGGTGCTTGACCATGAGGTGAAAATCTCGTCCTTTAAAGTGTGTGTTGTAATTTCACAAAGCTGGACTGTTGCTTAAAAGTAAATAATATAGAAATTTTGAAGCAGTGTTTCCTGTGTGGGTTTTATTTCACGGGTTTGGTTTTGCTGTGTTCTCAGTTGTCCTTGTCTCAGCCAACATGCCCTACTCTAATAGAGGTGGAATGCAGCAGAGGGGGGGAGTTCTGCCTTGAGGTCACCATCATGTGCCATCTTCCCCTGAAGAAAGTGTCTGATTTACCTCTTCATTTTCATCTTCTCAATCAGAGAAGAGTGGAATATGGAGATAGATATATAGATATATATATATCTAGATAGATAGATAGATAGATAGATAAAATCTGCTTTATCCAAAATACTTTTTTCTTTCAAGAAAATAAAGTTTCTCATACTCACAAAACAAAAACAGAAAAACCACAAGCAAACAAAAACCCCCAAACCAAACACAACCCAAACCCAACCCTAACAAGGGAGGGGGTGGAAGGGAGATGGAGCCCTGAAATTCTGTGCTGTCCTCGAGGGGATCTGCTGCACGATCAACCACAGCAGTGGATTTGTCAGAACTGGTGTTTCTGCTGGAGAGAACGGGCCGTTTCCACCCTCCTCCTGGAAGAACTAGTGCCTAGGAACACCCCGCCTTTCCCCAGGGGTTTGGAGAAGCCCTGGCCTGAGGTGCTAAACCGCTAAAACTGGATTTGCGCTGCCGTGCTCCTCGCCTCCATCTGGGGGTGGTTGCTCCTTCCAGCTGCTGTTACACCCGGCATGGCTGCTGGCTGTGTGGAAATCCTCCCTACCCGTTTTCTGGCCTCGGAGGAGGAAAATAATTAAATTTTTATTTCCTTTGCAAGCCCCTCAACCCGTGGGACTTGTTAGTGCTGCTTTAGGGTTGCTGAGACTCGGGCAGGCGAGCGCCGTTCCACCCGCCCGCCAGTGTCCGGGTGAAGCCTGACGGGCTCTCGCTCTTCCCTCCGCCCTCCCCAGGTCAGCCGGGCCACCGTGGAGCCCACCCGGGATCCCGCGTGGGTGCGGGCCGAGGTGCGCCGGCCCCGCTCATGCATGTT